CGACCCGCCACCGAATTCTTCCGCAACTTTGAACTAGCCAACTCGCACTGTTTTGCTGTTCCGTCCGTTCCAGTGTCATCGCACTTCTTCATCTCATCTCTGCAAAAATCCTAAATTTTCAGGTGCTATGGCAATTACTGAGGACAACGCCCTCAGCAGTTTGCACCAATTTCTCGCCGCTACCCAGGTAAAATCACTAACTTCGACATAGCCGCAACTTCCTAAAATATCCCTTTTACAGCCCTTACAGTCGCTACAACGATCACCGGAGAAGGGTATTCCTAGTATGGACGACATTATGCATACCGTACTACAGCAACTGCCGTCCTTCAATAGTTACCCGGTAAGTGGCGCAGCAGCTGAGACGCTATTATGTGGTCAAATTGACGTGGGAATCGGTTGCCAATGAAGTGTTGGCAGCTCGCCTACCTACTATCAAATGGGAAATAAAAGGGAAAGTTGGGAGAGAAGACGGAGGAGAAATTAGGGTTATTATTTCTTCCAAAATAAATAAAGAAACAAGGAGGAGGATGTAGGAGGGGAACAAAGAAAAGAAACTCTCAAAGTTTTTCCTGTTTTAGAACAGGGGGGTGGGACGGAACAGAAAGCAAGATTTCAATTCTCCTGAATCTCTGAGATTTTTTAAGTATACTATAAACGGTCTAGTAATGAAATTCAATATTTCCATCTTTGGACTATCTCTTGCTTCAGAAATATACATGTAAGTGTCCAAATTCCTAGCAATGCTGCCTTTGATCTTTCAAATGTTTTGAAATAGATTCTTTGAAAATGGATTGTGAATATGACAATCTTCATCACTTCTGAAGAGGACATATATATCCTTCAGGAAATGGGCAGCTTTTTTCCATAGTTGGGGCTACAAAATTTTTCTCGTTAAAGAGGCATAGGCTTGACCACCCACTCGAGCTAGAACTTATAAGTCTGAATTTTCAGTATCCCCCGATAACACTTCATGAAAAGCAACAAAATGATTTGATTTGCAAAATTTGCGAATTATTGATCAAGATGAAAAGGTTGCGCGATTCTGTAGATGTAAATCACCTCCAAAATTAAAAATAATCTAAACATTTCAAGAATTTTTTCGGAGTTTTCCCATTTTTTTCCGATGCCTATAGTCCTGAACTTTGAATGGAGAAATCCTTCTGCTATCATTTCAAGTTTTTTTTTTCAAAA